TAGGAGTAATTGAGGAAAAACGAAATTTTTTGTCAAAAGTTCGCCATTTCGACGCTGGGATGGTCGGATTTGGTCAACATCAATAAAATGCCATATAATCATATGTAACTCATTAAATATCGAAATTAGAAGAAAAGTGCACTATTTTTTATTAAAAATTTTCGATATTTTGACAAAAAAAAATTTTTTTTTTCGTCAAAATATCGAAAATTATCGAAATATATTCTAAAAAGCGTAAAAAATTCCAGACTTTTTAGGCTTGTATTTCCTCAAGTCAGTTGTTTCTTTCAACTTCATGCATGCACACCAAGTACCAAAAAGTTTTCTTTGGATTACTGCTGATTACCATAGGAATAAATGCAAATTTTAAATGACTATAATTTTTCAAAAAACCCGTGAATTGATTAAAAATTTTGCAGGTAACTTTTTAATAGTAATAGGAATCTATAATAACAAATTCAACATGCTAGCATTGTTTAAGTGTATGGCCTATACATCCTTAATTCGGACCTCGGTAAAATGAACGATTTCAATGATCAAGCGGGACAATTGTATTGATGCTTCGTTGAAGATCGCGTGAGTAGCACTCGGCGGGGTTCCGTGAAACATAACGAATCCCAGGCCAGGCAGTTTTTAATGGCAATCTCGAATATACGATCTTCATGCGAACTTCTCTTTTTCGCGTGGTTACGTAACGAAGAGTCGGAGTAGCGCGTAAGCCGTCCCGGTAGGGCTTATTTTAATAGGGAGGTGCCGCGAGTTGAAACTTTCATCGATAACATTGCCCGCGCGTTTCCAGTGGACGGTTATAAAGTAGTTAAGTCCTGCTCTCGTGTGATTTATGGCCGACACAGCAAATCTCATTTCGCCTCTCCTTTTTCACCTTCTCCAGGTTTCCCTATCTTTTATTTCGGTTTCATTCCATTTTCTTTTACATTTCCCGCGGCTCTTTGTTTTTACCCCGTATCCCTTTTTTGTTCTCCGTAGTCGATAGGTACGAGCAATACGCGCCGGGCGATTTAGCGAACGGCATTCCACCGGGAGCTTAATTTGGTAGCCGGGATAGATTATCAATCATTAAACAATTTTCCCGGCGGCGAGCGCGCGAAATCGTAGACGGAATACCTCGGCGAAACAGAGAGCCATTAATCTTCGGCCGGTCGCGCGAAATAAAAACGTTTTCGCGCGTTCTTTTCGTGCCGCAACAGAATACGCGGGCGAGCCTCGACACCGTTCGCAGTTGCACGTTTATCGCGCTCTCCCATTCGAAACCCTGAATACCGGAAGAGACTGCGAATAAAACTGAATTAAATGTCTCGCCTTTATCCCGAAAGCCTATATCGTATATTATTTTAAATCTTGATTTAATTTCATTTCACACCCGTCCTTTTGCAGTGTATTATTAATTTGTAACACGATTACGCTACAATTGTTTGTGGTCGAACGTACACATGCATATGACATGGTCATAAAGAATGTATGAATTGACTTCACCAAACGAGAAACGAAAACGTTCCGAAGTAGTAACAGTCAGCGCTTAGTCAGACGCCCCTTGATTCGCGCGGTCGGACGCGAACCGACTCGTTTTTTGCGTACGTGTGCCGTCTCGAAGATCGTTGAGCTCTTGATCAAATTCTATTCCACGCAATTACGTTCTTCTTGTAAGTGAAACATTCATCGTCCGATAGTTCCTCGCGGTAAACGTTCATTAAAACGTTTGTCTACGGTGAATTCTAAACGTTTCACGCTCTGTTACTTTTGCTCCTTCATTGTTTTCTGTTCGTGGGCGAACCGAGATCCGCGTTCATCCAATTCAATGAGACCATTATACCCGCGGATCAATCGAAATATTTTCCACCCCTTTTTTTTTTGTAGTACCCACGAGCGACGGCTGTGGTATGCACGATTTTTCAGTTCAGAGGCGGCGAGACAAAGATACGCGGAATATATTCCATCGTTCCTTCTACACCTGCTCGTTCCCTTTTTTTTGTTCGTTAAAGGAAAATTTTTTTTCCCCTATCGAGATTTTGTGGTCGTTACCGGCGGCAACCCTTCGATTCCCAATGTCTTCCTCATGATTTATTCATAAAACGAGAGGCAAACCTCCCGGGGGAGAGTTACGTGATACGTTAAATATTTGTAAATATTCATTGGTGAGCAACCCGATTGCGATTTTTGCATCGGCTATCCCCGGGCGCGGTGCATATTCGTGTCGCGTTTGTTAGACCCCGGCCATTGAGGAAAGTAAATTAGCCCTGAAACATCAAAGCCGCGGCACACGGGACGCGGTTAGGCGTACGACCACCGCGGATCAATTAAATATTCAACGACATCGTACCTCGGAGTCCCATGACCCAGAAACCTGCGATTGACGCGGCGGTAACGCGACCGACGGCGACGGTACAACTTACCAACGTACCATCTCCTTTTTATACTCTACAGACATTGATTAATCGGCGCGCGCGGTCGCTAAGCTTTACTCCTTTACGTAAACGTGTTTATTCCCTTTAATGAAACGCTTTATCGCAAACAGGATTGAAGAACGTTCTTTTAAAAATAGGATGAGGATTCGCGAAGTAGAGTCGAATTAAATGGCAAACGAGCGAATAAAGAAAATAAAGAAACAATAGGAGAAAGAGATTCGCCAACTACATTTTTCAATTCCGTGTACACTTGTCGGGATTATCCTGCGAAACTATGCGCCTGCGAATCTCCGGAGATCGTGCTCCGAAAACAACTATTATTCATGGCCCGTCTTCTTCGCTCTTTTCACCCTTAACTCTATCCCCGTCGAGTCTTCCGCGAGTTTCTTTGCATCCAGGAACCGTGGCGTAGAAACAAAGGGAAGACAAAAGGGGAGAGAGAGCTCAGCGGGAAAGTTGGAGCGGAGGCTCCATCGAAATCGCGGAAATTGTTGCGTCGTTATCCCCGACGCTCTTCGAATTTTCGGAGAAACAATTTTCGGCGTTCGAACCACGACCGTATACATGGAGAGAGGTGGTCCATCGTCTCTAAGAAATTCCCTGAGAAAATTCCCCCATTCGACTAGAGGAGAGGATCTCGAGATGAGGCGAAAGGATTGCGAACGCTATAATAACGACCGCTCTTATTACCGAACCGTCATACGGCAAAAGGGTAGCACGGGCGTTTGGGAAGATCGTACAGATTTCGGGAATAGTTGTTCGCGAGAGCAGTCTAATTGGCAATGCTAACGAAAATTGGCGAAATAATGAAGCTCGAAATCCGTATCGAATTAAATTACGCGCGGATGCGCGAACGCGTTACGAGTGTCGCGACGCTCGAGATTCCGTTTAAATACCCAGGAACGCGAGAATCGGCTCGTCTTCTTCATTTCCCCTCGACGCCTTTTACTCCGTCTCTCTTTCACCGTCATCCATTCCGCGACGAACGCGAGACCGTCGCGTCGCCGGAAGGAACAAGAAATTAATAGTAGTGGCTGCTAAGCAAAATTATGCGCGGTATTACCTCCTTTAAAAGGTGCGCTGATTAAGAACATCCTCGACCTACTTAACTCTTTTTCTCGGAATAAAATAATCGTAAAATTAAACTCGCGATGACTGGGCTATCTGAAAGTTAAATCCGCGCTGTTGACGAGGTAGAAGGGCAATCGTGTAACGCAGCTAAATGTTCTCCCCCTTTTCTCTCCGGACCCATTCGCCATCCTTTCTGATGGCCTTCTTCCCTTTCCGCTCGGTTTTCATTGAGCCGCGCGAGTACGTTTTTTACGCTTGCGCTTCCTCCGTTATACGTAACAGTCCGACACGCGAGAGGAAGACCGAGCGGGAACAGAATTTCTACGACGACATCGAGTACCGGTATACTGGCGTCATTGTTCACATAAATAAATACCGTATGGATAATAGAAGTGCCTAGCCATCTTCGATAATGGACGACTATTTATCTCGCCGTTCTTACCTAGACCCTTTTTACCATAAGCCAACTTCCTCCACTTTGTTCGTAAGCTTTTTGTCACTCGCCTCTCTTCGCGGATGATGCGTTAATTTATTACTTTGTAACCGGATTAGTCACACTTAGCCAACTTCTTTTAATCATCCTGAGGAACAATCGCAATTACGTTTAATTTTAAAGCGAGTCAAGTTGTATCCGGCCTGTAATCAATTCGGGGGACGTCCGCCGGTCTCGCGGGAACCCGCAATCGCGATTAATTACTCACCACCGGCGAGACAGACTAATAAGTTTTTAACGAGAAATCGCTTTTGATCGCGACGTTACGAAAATTGTTACTCGCCGCCGGAATTAACGGTCGCCGTGTCCGCCGAGACGGTATCACCGTCCCGAGAATAACGATGGTTTACAAAACGATGGTACGGTCGGTCGGTGAATCGGGAATCTTGGCGGAGCCAGTAAAGCGTATTCTCGCGGTCCACTCGTCCGCACGAGCGAGATTATCGATACTCCGATTCGATGCGATGTAACAATATTATTGTCGGATCAATCGGTGTTTGAATAACGGGGACAATGCCGCCTCCCCTTGGAATCGTCCACTCTCGCCCGTAATCCCTCGTCCTTCACCTGGTTTCTCGGTTCGACTGCTCGATTCGTTATCGAGCTCGTTAAATATCTTGAAAACCGCTGAACCCGCGGATCGATCGCGGCCACGAACGTTCCTCGCGACACTCGAACTCGAAACGTGAGACGAACTCGATTCGTTCGTTACGAAGGAAATGAAACGGAACCGAGGGAACAATGCGTTAATTCTGAAGCACCTGTGGTTGATTAAGTGCCGACGATTGATTTAAGTCCCTCCGGATAATGGCCTGATATCGATGACTCTGTAGAACTTTCGTACTAAACTTACGGTATCAACGAATAAAATGAAGCAATTAATCTATCGTCCTTTTAAAAAAAAAAGTATGCATTTTTGCGTGCGAGTATGGTTAAACTTCAATGATTACACTATATCATACTTTATGTACACTATTTATTTGAAACTTTTTGCAACAGTTAAGCGATATAAGATGATTGAGTCACGCAGCTTACGTTGTATGATCACTCTTATTCTCTAGTATACACCAATACGTAACGAATTCGTATACTCGAGCAGTAAACTTTCAAAGAGTATGCTTAAGTCGAACACAATAAAGAGTTCACCTGTTCGTAGTAGAAGCTATGTACATCTCAACGTTCCATCACCGCGCCCCGACGTACGTAAGTAGATCACGTTCATGAGGGTTTACATGGAGACGTCGCCCCTGGTAAAATTATACGTCCGCTTATGCGACGCATCGTTGAACCCGATACGGTAGAACACCATTGATCTTCGATCCTGGTCTAATTAATCGCCCAATTAATCGAAGATTAATCAAATTAGCGCGTATCACCTCGATGACTTCGAATCGACCATTGAACTGTCACCTGCAGAAAGGACGTCCGACTGAATTATCGATTAATAGACCCACGGGTCCGTTAATATGTATTAATTAAGTGACAAGAGAGGTGATGGACTTACGATGACACTTATAGCAGCGTAGCTATTTTCGAAGATAAAACAAAATTCGTAACGCTAATGGAAACGCGTGGGTCGTAATGGAATAACGAAGCGCTATGATAATGGAGTGTGGGAGTAATACAGGTGGGTGGGTAGACGTAACGAACAGTAGCGTGTAGCCGTTTAACCAGCGAGGTAAAATAACGTCGGGCGTGCAATAATTTTATTCAACATGAAAAAGCAAAGAAATATTCTATACCTTCAGTGAGATGGATAAGGAGGAGGCACGCTGAGCGTTGGTTTCTTTCATCCTCTTTCGCATCGCTGTTAAATTTTCATTTCGTTAAAAGAATTACCAGCGACAAGACGTTGCTTTATTTCCATTCGCCCACACGTTTATTAAAATCACGGAAAGACGGTGTAATTATCTCGAGACAGGTTCCTCGAGTTCTAACGAAAAACCAGAACGCATCTTCCGTTTTTGCCTCCACCCTCGTCCTATCTGAGGTTCCCACTTTTTGTTCCCATCTCCTCCAACACCCGCGCACGCCTGTGGACCACGTACATTATTATACATACTCATCACACGCGTGTATTTCGTACATGGTAATCTCGAATGAATCATTTCCCTCACGGACGAACGCGACGCGTACCAGTAATAGACAATCCGCCGTCCCTATTTTTCCGAATTCGCGTCGCGCACATGCACGGCCGCGTAGAAAGGGGTTGCGCGCAGCTGGGACCGAACGACGAGACCTGCGTCCGACGGTGTTTTTTCGGCGCGGAAATTTATATACGCGCGAGCCGAGGTGGCAGCGCGCGACCGTAATGAGGAAATATCGTTTCACGATATCGATCCGCGCGGCGAAAGGTCAACCCTAGAAGGGGTTGTCGGCTGACAAACCCTCCGGCGAGTACACATCTACATACGCGCGCGCTTATCTATAACATCTAGCGTACGATATGATCCTTCTTTCTCAGTCTCTCTCTCTCTCTACCGGCGTGCTCGACTCGCTGGCGGATATTTTGATTTTGGTAATGGGACCACCCCCGAATTAACGCAGACAGCACAACCGAGCGTGTATCTCATATTTTACTTTTTAATTCGTCTGCCGTATGTCCTCGCTTCGCGCCCGACGATGCCGCCCGTTTAAATATGAATTAGCCGATCGTCGACGGCTGAATGAGAATCGTGCAAGCTTAACGAACGGAGAGGATTTCGCCAGAGCTCAGGGCATGAAAACTGTAGTCTGACGAACTTCGTGGATATTCCACAGCGAGCCTCGATACGAGTCGGGTACTCGAGGTCACGATTATTCTGTCACCGGTACAAGACCGGAATGTACTCCACTTGTTCATCACGTTCAAACATTATTCCGCCGTTTTCACGGTGAAACAATCTATCCGGGAGGCAAGTGGCGCACACAGTCGTTCTATCACCACTGGAAACCTGTCGCCGTCGCGTCCTCGGCGTCGACGTTGTCTTCCGCATATACGGAGCCCGCCCTTAAGTGTCCAACTATCGTACCCTCCGCGGAATGATCATTCCATCACAGCGCAAATATTGAATTTACATGGTCGTCTCATTTCTGCATTGCAGATGTACACGCTTCGGGGATGTGAACTGCGGACGCATCATACATATGTACGTACATACATATTTATACATGTCCACAGTGTACGTATCTATGTACGTACGATACGGGTACAGTCCGAGGCAGACCATAGGGAGCACTGAAGTCACGTTTACTGCCTCTTTGCGACCGCGAGTCTCGCGGTCTCGTCCTATTAACTCGCTTCTAATGAAATCCGATGTCCGGACCGGATTTTACGCCGTCTTTCCGCTACCATTTAATTCCGCTTTCCCTCGACGATCGTTTCTTGACTGCACCCGCTTGTAATATCACTCCGTATCGATAGTTTACGTACCCCGATAACGATGCCGATTACTATGCATACCGGCGCTCGTCCCGTAATCGCTGGAATATTTCTGCGCTCTACCACGGGAACAACGCCATTGTACGTATTTGCGCAACAATTTAATTGGAGTATTAATTTCATTCGCTAAAAGAATCGAGCACGCCCTTAATGGGAAATCCGCAAAAGATACGGATCTCGTTACCATCGTGACGTAAGCACAGTTGTAAATTCCATCGTTTGCGTTTCGAATTAGCATGATCGTATCAGACATCCTCCTAATTAATTAATACGTAATAACAGAAACCGTGGAAATTGATCAATTGGATTAATAAGGCTTCGCGCGTGAGGGCTAAATGTTTCATTTGCTCAACGACCAAGCTGCAGGAATCGAGCTGGGTTATCTAGGTCGTCGCCGCGCTGACAGGTTCTCCTATCCTCTCCGATGAATATTCGAAAATTGCAGCCGCCTCCTATAATTTGGAATATTAAACTCAGAAAAGGGGAGAGACGTCTAGCGACGACGGGGCTTGAATAACCTCCATTAGTCGGACGGTTCTCTCTGGCTGCGGCCGCAGCGCGCGCAACCCTTCCAGTTACCAGAACGGAAAATAATCTTCGGCTCGACTTTTGTACGCCGTACTTTTCGCTCGCGCGTCTCTATTTGTTTTGTTCTACATTGGAAACAATGAAAACACGTCCACCCGCACGAACAGTGCAGATATGGAATAGCAAAGAGAGGGGGGACACAGATAGAGAGAGAGAGAGATAGAGATAGAGATAGAAAAGGGGGTGAGCCCGTAGTGCGATCGATATCCGCTTCGCGAGTTCACGATCTTAAATCACCGGGCGCAGCTTGAGCCCGGACAAGCAAGGATTCCCTCATTGTGAAGCAGCCGGCGTACTGTCACGGTGCATAACTTTGATATTATATGTGTCCTGGTCTCTACGCGTAGATACGTACCGGGCTTTCTCCCGGTTTTCCTGTAACGCCCGTTCGCGTTCCCGTCGAATCATCGCGGCGGCGGCGGCCAAGAAAAGGATACGGATACGGTTAGAGTAGCCCGGTCCGGAGGATGTTTTCTCGTGCATAAAAGGGACACGTAACGCGCTTAAGCTCTCGGGATACATGCGAGGAATGGACGACGGAATCCTGGGTACGGCATTGTCCCCCGGAAACGTCTTGTCAAGTGTCTCGTCCCAATGCGGAGGGACAAGAAAACGACAGCGTGAATAAACTACGGACGATCCCTGCTGCTAGATTTAATTCTTTCTGTCGGTCGGCCAGCGACGAGAAGAAGAAAAAATTATGTTTTTATCAGTAACGATTTCTTACGTTCGCGTATTTCCTTAATAGGACCGATATTCATTCGAACCTTTCACGCTTAAGGGATCAGAGGATAATTGTTCAAAGGACTAACGACAAATAGAGCATTGAGAATGAATAAGAGATACGTAGATTCTGATGAGAATGCATTTTATTTATAAAAGTTTAATTTATAGAAGATCTTCTCTAGATTATTTCTGATTAGAAGTACGTGACATTTACCCAAGACCCAGAGTGGTTAAAGGATCACGGAGTAATTCTTGAAAGGGCAAGCCGGAGCTCTGTCGATCGGACAATAAAGACACACGCCGATGGTTCGCACCCTCCAATGAACCGTTGAACGCGTCCCCCGTCGCTCTATATAAAATCGCCAACAGCAAAGCGAGAGGCTATCATTAAGAAGGGAATTCGAGCGAGAATCGTGTGTGTTCGATCGTTCGCCGGGGCTCCGGGAATGGTGTCAACAGAAAGAAAGCTTCACGAAGAGAAAGGTCAATAAAAGGAACTCGGTCGTGGCCGCTGTGTGTCTCGAAACAAACGAAACCCCGGAGCCAAGCGTCGCTGTCGGCGTTTCTTTCATTCGTGGCGTTAATTCGTGCCATGGGTAGGTCACTAAGGTCGAATCCGTCGCTCCGTCCCGGTACTCCTCTCCGTTTTTCCCCTGGCAGGCTTTTAAACTATGGTACCGTGTTTCCTGTAACGGAAACAACGCGTTGGAGGGTCGGAGTCAGACGTTCCGGGTTTCCCCGAATGTTTAGAAGTTCCATAAAAATAGTTCCCAGCCGGCGCAAACTGATGTCGAGTCTCACGCGCGTTTATACAACAGTTCCTGGTTAAATAAACAAAGTACCCCTGGGTCCTGTGTGAGGCACCGACACCGACACTTCCGGCGAAGTTACGTCGACAAATAAGTAGTAACGTTAATTAAACCAGAATTAAAAAAGCCAGGAAAATGTCTGCAGGAACTTTGGAGAAAATTTAATAGTCAACAATCTGTTTCGTCGCTGGTGTATATCGATCAGTGTTTTTCGTTTAAAAGTTGCCTCCCGCGTTTTTCCGTACTGTCAGCGTTTCTAAGGCGGACAACACGCACACGAGTGCGAACGCGCGCCAGTGTGCACACGGGCGAGCATCAATTTGCCGTTTTGGGACCCGTGCGACGACGGGCAACACACGGCCAATGTTGATTGTTGTGTGAGCACACAATGCCGTTGCAACAGCCCGGGCCGGGTTGCGTACGGGCAAGCCTGACAGTTTTCGTTGGCGCACGAATACTGATACGGACAAACACTGCGCAGGAAAACGGTTACGCTATAATAAATCAATTTTCCGGTGACACCCGCGCCTTGGGAACGGATCGCGCGTTAAAAAAAAACACGTAACCGTCGCGTCGATAACGACGGCCTCCCATAGGAAGAGAACCGATCCGGTGATTTTTCTGTAAAGTCCGCCGGGGTAGCGACCCAGTTTCCCATTTTTGCGATATCCATCAAAAAGTCCGTCGATTAATAGATATTTAATCAGAATCCGTCGAACCGATTATGGATTATCGCCCGAAGGAGGGTCGATAAAAATGATAAATTCCAACTCGGTTCCTAAATTCCCAGAGGTTTTCCAGCCGTCATCTGGCCGCTGATTGGGAACGGGCATTTGCGAAAAACACGACTGGAATCCAAGTTTGGTCAAAGAAGCGGCATTTATTGCCCTCGCTAATGGTTTGCAATCGGCTAGGGAATAGTAATAGACTAAATTGTTACACACGTCGGGCCAATCAAAAATTAGACGAGACGCCGGGAATTGGCCCGGAAACGTCTTCAAGGGGATGATCCCGAAAGGCGGAGAAGGACGGAGTACGCCACGTTGCAATCGCAACAAGGCTGTGCGGTCGGGCAAATTTATTCATCGGATTATTCAAATTGAAAGGCGTACACGGCAGAGATATTGCGGTTTCGTAGTTATCGGCGCCTGGTCGAGTTGGGACCGAATCAAAATAGAAGGGTGAGGTGGCGAAGGACGCGCCCATGTGTCCCCTTTTGCTAGATTTGATAAATGTTCCAGAAATATTATTACCGCGTTCGGATTTCGTAAAGAATTAATTAAAGCCGAAATCGTGTGAACAATATTTGCAGTCGAGTTCAATAAAAAAGTCCGATGACACGTGTTTCGCTTAAACATATGATGACACAGTTTCATCAGAAAATTATAGAATATACTGTGTGTGTATAGCACGACAAGCGCTCGGATGGCTGGCCAGGGACCCATAGTTTCAGATGAACCCTGAACTACTAATGCCAATAGCACTTTGCGAACTTCCCAGATGATCACCCATTTAACTGGTAACGGTGGCCGAACGTGCCTTAACTTCGGTGATCAAACGAAAATCGAAATTGTTGGCTAATACACGCGTCGCTATTCAAAAAGGGGAACACGGTTCGATAAATCCAATCTCCGATCGGACCATTCAAGAAACATCGGCAAGGGTAGACATTCTGTTACGATAGTGGACCCGGGCTACCGTTTGAATTAGAACTCGACTCCAGGCCATAAAGAACTGAAACAGTTGCGTAGCTCGGTATCGGTACGTTACACGTTGACTGGACAAAGTGGGAGGAAACCAGACTCGGCTCTGTCGATCCTTTGACTATCGTACACACGTGTACACACATCAGCCGTCGTCATCCGCTTGTTTCCAGGAACGGTCCACCCGTGGGACTCGTATCTTTGATTCTAGGTCACGCGATGATAAATTGATCACAGACGCGGTTTCTGTGTCTTTGTTCGACGGCCCGAAGAACGGTCGGCCTCGAACGAGTTGATTCCCTGCTGCAGGCTTCTCTCTGATTTCGAGTTTCACCAGTCAGGTGCAGTCATCGCGGTGCTGCGAATTTCCAGGCGGAAAAACACGTCGTTATTATCGAGACATGAAAGGGTTACGTAATTTCCGTGGTGAGAGTGCTGTTCTTCCCGTCGCGTCGCTGCGACGACGGCCACTCGATTACGCGTCGCTTGACCTTTTTATCGAATGTCGAAAGGCAGAGGGGGAGAGAGACAGACAGAGAGAGAGAAAGAGAGGAGGGTAGTTCGTCAAAATTTCGATGACGCGAGTAAACAGACTAAACGAATGCATTTGTTCGATGGTTAGGCGTCGTCCCTGCGGGGCGCTGATAATTATTGCCAACGGTATTCGGGTATAATTGTTCGGATGAGCAGCGGCCAATTAATTATCGCCAGGCGCAGGACGGGCCGTTTTATCGCCAATCTATGAATATATGTATGTATATTGTGATACACGCGGGGTCACGTGACGGCGTATTAATCGCGCGTGGTACACCGTTATGGGAGACGCAAGAGACGAGCGAAATTTTAACGCGACGCGCAACGATATACTGTGAAACAAGGAGGCGTGTGATCGAGCCCCATCGATAACGGAACGCTCCGCTCGTTTCATAGCTCGACAACGAGCCCAATCAAGTCCGCGGGTCGTGTTTCGATAGGAATTGAAATCCACACTCGACTTTCGTAACCGCCTCTCGTCCGCGATGTATCGCATTATCCTCGTTACGCGACGCGCGTCCCGAAGTTTTAATTACCTCCCGGTCGGCTGTGCCGTGCCTTTGCGTAAAAATGTAACAAGTCTCGTGCTTTATTATCTGCCTTCTCTCGTTCTCTGCTTTCGGCGTATGATGCATTCGCGCGTGCTCGTTTCTGTCCGCGAATCCCAGACATTTTGTTCACGACTCGATGACCTGTACATTTTTCACACAGCTACGATTATGCCGATACTCGCGCACGTAACGAACGAGCGGACATCGAGATTCGATAACGTAGTGTAATGGTTAAAAATCGTTGATTTGCGAGCCGCCGTTTTACAGATTGGCATGTCGATGGTACACACGCGCTCGTTTGCACACCGTGGAAAAAAAAATAGCGACTGCCGGACGGTAAATATTCGAAAAAGGAAAAAAATCGTTCCCGCCGTTTAGGATTATTTATCGCTCAATCGAGACGCGCGGCGCAATCTCCGAGCTACAATGTCAGACTGGTTAAATGACAAACGTCGCCGAATGGCGATGGATCGTGATTAATTAAAATAGCATCAATCGCTATTATATTACGCGCGAACGGGTCACGATTTCAAGAGCGATCTCTCGAACGATTGTTCGCTTTGAATCGCGTTTACAAAGAATGCAACAATTACAAAGAAATCGGAAACCAATTAAAACATGAATTACGTCGGGTTCTGCTGGATTTCTGTGAAATCGAATAGGGGGACGTTGCACGCGCATCCAACGGATGGCCTACCGCTAAAAAAGTAGTGCTGATGAAATGAGCTGCTCGAAACGGTAAAACGCGCGCCATCCAAATTGAATATCAGACGCAACTCGGTCACGCGGCGACGGTCGCTTCGGTTCAATCCAATTCTCATCAATTTCAATATCAACGGAAACTGGGATTCTTCTCAGGTGCCTAGCTAACGGATTATTTCCCAACGCGTTTGCCATCCGATCTCCAGGAACGAGCTTATTTCCACCGGGCGAATAGGCGAACGTTAGAGAAAAATATCGCGCGATTTAGCACCGGGATCCGACTTCCTCCGTCGCCTCGATCTCTTTTGTCCCGTCGAATAAAGCGCGACGTACGAACTCGGTAACCGCCGCCCACGATCAATGTACTTATTTTTCCTCCGAATAGACCGACAGATTTTCGAACCGGGGCGAAATGTTCCGCGCGATGTTTTCATTTCCCACGACGCGATCACGAGGGAACGTTCGCCAAAGCGAGAAACCTCGGCGAAACGCGTTAGACAAGCCCGCCTAGTATCGATTCGAGTCGCAAAGCTGCAGCCTATCCAGGCATTTGTCAACGACGACAGGAAACGTGGCCCACATAGAGCCGCGTTTACTCCGGGACGCCGTTTCAGCGTTGGGTTCCGTGTGGCGCGCACTGCGAGCACAGCCGGGCACAAGCGCAATTATTATTACGTCCATTTAGGCTTGTGTGTTTCCATTGAAACCGTTCGGCGGACCGAGCGGCCGAGGTTATTATCCTATTGAGCTCGTAAGGAGCAGCAGACCGCGCGATGTCGTACGACAGTCTTACGACATCCTCTCAGCTTGCTAAGGGAACGGGAACAAGAACGGCGACAAGAGCCGCTTGTCTCGGCTTTCCACGTTCAACTCCTCTGTGAGCGAACCCGACGTGTGACCAGCGAACCGATCTCTCAAAAGGGGTATTCGAGTCGAGGTTAGTCAGGAAACAGACACAGAAAGGAAGGAACTGGTGCGTTTAGGTAAAGCAGAGTAGACTAGTCGTGATCATGTTTATTTACTATTAGTTATGAAACAGCTGGATATGAAAACTATTATTGAGTCTTTAATTACGATGTAAAATCAGATATAAAAGAAGCAGATATTGATTGCGTTAATTATATTAATCGTCGCTGGTAAAAGTCTCAGCTTGAGTGGCAATTAGGATTTTTCGAAGACGATGCACATTCATTCGCGTATGCATATTAAGCCACGGATCTCGTTTTAATACGTGCACAGTATTTGCTCGTTTAAATGCAATAAAAACATAATAAACGTTAAGCAGTGTACTGGATGCTAAGGAGGCGATCCACGCAGACGCGACGTGGCGCGACTACCAGCGACGAATGAAAGTTAATTGAGAGGTCGATGAAACGATTAAGCGGGTTGATTCGTCGTGTTGGCCGACTCGCTCGTCGCTTCTTACTGGATTACGCGACTGCTACATACATACGTAGACACATCGCGTCGTCTCGTTCGATGTAAAGCGAAATAAGAAGTGGAAGCAGGAATCGGCATGGAAATTGCAGAACGTGTTCGCTTACGTTATTAAACAGCCGAACGAGTGAATGTACATTGAATTCGTATGAAAAGCGTCGAACATTTCGTGAATGAAGCGAGCGTCCCTCGCGATGAAGAATTGCGATATCGATCACTCTCTCGCCGCCCTCGGGCCATGAATGTAATTGTCGCTGCAGCGAACATCGGTGATCGAGTTTTATTAAAGCATTTCTCGATCGTTTAACGCGTATCATTTCCCAGCTACCTTTCGTGTCCCGTTGTCGTCGTAAAGTCGCCGTAATAATAGTATATGTATATACATATATCCTTTTTTCATCGCAACGATGAAACGGCGGTAAAGAGTTTGAGAGAGGGGTAAAAAATATGGCAAAACGTCTCACGCGGCAGTTATAATGGCATCACGTGCTTGCGTCCGGCTGTGTACGCGCGCTAGAAGCGCAATAATAAATTGCTGTACTGGCTATAGTTTTATCGTCCCATTTACGGCGACGACTCCTTGGTCTCTGCTCTCGTTTTCCGAATCCGATGGGGCTATAAAGATAAATAAGAACGGCTCGAAGGTAAACGGGCAGGAGGCGGCGTACAACCGTCTGCAAGGTCGTTAAGCAAGCTTCGGCTTGGCAAACCGGGCGAGACCGGTGGCACGAGAGGGTAAAAGAGAGTAAAAAAAGCATCGATGGGAGGGAAGAAAGTTAAATAACCAAGTCGACGTTCGCGCCTTCATTTTTTAACGACAATCACCCAGGCGAATATTATTGCGCTCGCCGGCGCATGTGCGTTACGAACGTTGCGCTATTAGCGACCGCCTTTATCTCGCCACACCCGATTTGTAATTCGGTTATCGGGTTTCTTCCCTCGGCAATCAACGCAGTCGATGAGCAACAATTTTAGGCCATTATGTTCTGGCATAATCACCCGTAGAACGCTATAACGCGACGTCATATATATATCAACATTTACGTTTTACGGAATGAGTTTATGGGCGATTCAATAGGAGTTGAATTTATAGCTCGTTCCGTCAGTGCTATTATTGTTACCAATTTGCTGATTCGGACTTGTTAGCTCTGTATTGTATCTCGTTCCGATGGTACCGTTTTCATGGGTAATTTTCTGTGTTCGCAGTACGGGGACAAAAATCGCGGGACGATCTACACTGTCCATAATCTGGCTATCGTTACTGCTGACGCTAGGAACGAGGGCAACGTCGTCGGCGAACGCGAACATGACGAACGTGTCACCGCTCGCCTCGACGTTGAAGCCGATCACGACCACGGAAGTAGTCTATCAGCGATTCGCTATCGAGCCGATGGATCAGACCGCGGTGATTGGCAGCCGGGTGACGCTTCCTTGCCGGGTCCTCGATCAGAAAGGACCTATTCAATGGACAAAGGACGACTTCGGCCTTGGCGCGGTCAGGAATCTCACAGGGTACGAGCGGTACGCCATGATTGGCAGCGACGAGGAAGGTAAGTCGAGATTTGCATATAAAAAAATTAAATACATCCCTGAGAAATATTCTCGTACGATTTATAATGGTTCTGGTGAAGTTAATAACAGCTCGACAAATATTGAGGTTGAGCGCACAATATTTTCACCAACTGCATGCTGCGACTGTGTAATTGGAATTCACGAAATTTTTTCTAGCCCCTTGCGCCATTTTTAATCTAGCGCCCGTCGAGCCGACTCGCGGAACGCATATTTTTTTTCTTCGCGAAAAAGGAGGAGTACAAAGTGTTCCATTTTCTGACGCGTTCGTTGCGTTTAAATTACACGGTGTCCTTAAGGAGAAGGCGTGCTCTACCGTAGGCATTCGCGAAATTGCTTTCCCCTTTGTCGCTGGGTCTTGCGAACGGGGGCGGGGGATGAAACAGCGATATTGGAAAATGCTTATGTGCGCGAACAAATTGGAACTCCGTATTCGCAAGCCAGGACAAGGGAAGGGAACGGCCGAGCCGCGACATCCAACGATTCGATGGTCCCCGATCTCTTTTATTTTTCCCCGGGATCGAGTCAGGGATCTTTCCGGTTTAACGTAAACTTACTTCCGTCGTGTGTTTAAAGTTTCTCGGTAACGGGGACCGCGCCGTTCGGGACTCACCTAATTCCGAATTTCACGGCACTGTGATAAACCCTCGCCCGGCACTTTCGAACTCTAAGCTCGTTTCAGGGATAAAGCTCCGTAGAAATAATGACGACCCTAACGAACTGACCCGTGGAATTAACCACAGCAGATAATAAAAGTTTCACTGTACAAACTCCGTGTACTGTAACCCGGGAAAGACTGCGTTTTAGAATTGCCATCCAAGGGCGCGCTCCGAAAATTACGTTTTTCTAATGAGAAAACACTTCGTTCTATGGTAAACTGCAGGTACCAGTTCTAAACTCGTTCCGAGAAATAATGACTACCATAACGAACTGTGCCGTGGAGTTAACCACAGATATCGGTGGCGGAAGCGAGATAGAATCCTCGATATAATCGAAGGGTACACGTACGAGCGGATGAGAAATAAAAGGAAAGAAACGGCGGGGGTACAGAGGCAAAGGATAAAAGGAAAAGGTATAGTCTCTTTTCATCCATCACGTTCAACCGGCAGTCGCGGATAAAGGATCGCGAGGGGCAGAGGGTAGAACAGATATCCAGTTGGACGACTGAGAACGGGCATACGGGTGCAAAGGGTTGAACATATTTTCAACGGCCGGGCTAGAAATCGAATGAATCTCGATGGAGGCTCAGTTCGGTCGCGTTCGACCGACAGCGCTATTTCCTTCACGCTTTTTTCCTTTTTTTCCCCCCTCATCGGTGCCGTTTCACCACGCAGCTGCGATACACGGTGGGCCAGTTTGCGCGGGCCAAATTCAATTTCCTGCGGCCACCTATTGATTTTTTCCCTTTTCCTCGTTTTGTTGCACATCGTTCGACTGCAGGAAGAGAAGAAATAATAAAAAGCCAACCGGCGACGCGGAGGCAGGAGGAACGCGAGTTTAAAGGACGCGATCGCAAGACGTGGCACGCCACGCAAGCATTGTTTAAAATAACGATGCAACTACTCGCGGGACGGAAAGTTGCAGGAGTCAATAACGCGTTCGTATTAATGGTCTCCAGCAAGTTAAATTGCCTTTCTAACGAGTTTCGAAAAATGTGTGCCACGCCGACGTAACATTTGCTTGTCGGTATTCAAACGCTTGTCCGTGCTGGCCGGAAGAGAGGGTAGCCAACGAAGGGTGGAATTAACGACGGTTTCAACTATCTTCTCGAATTGAAAGTTTTCTTTCTCCCGTCGGCGGAGGATCGCTGATTGCAAGACCCCCGAGGAATCTTTTTCGAACAACCGCGTATTCGAAGCTAACTGGGATTTGACCGTCCGGTGCTCACGAGTGCGACCGTAGAGCAAGGTCTCGTTTATTCTATTACCTGCCAATTAACCGGTGTGCCGACCGCAAAAGAATTCCTTTGGCGGGATACGGAACGGTCGAATCTAATCGATTCGCAGCCGCAGGCAATTTTGCGTGGCGCGGCGGCTCGTGCCGGTCAACAGATTTAGCAATTTCTCCGTGACCAGAGCTCAGCCGCGAATGTATGTCATCGCTGGGCCATCGCGTCGATACGTAATGTCATAATACACGCGGGCAGCTCGACGTAACGCGCCACGCAACGTATTCCATCGTTTTTCGTATTCTCCATATTCCATTTCGTTCGCCAGCGTTGTTTTATCTTTCCCCTCCCGATCCTCCGTCCCTCGTCCCTGTCTAATACCGCAAAAAGCGTGGTTGCAAAAAGCTGCAGCGCTTCGAGGTTTATCCAGTGAAAAATTCTCGCGTTCCACTGCGATAAAACACCGCGCCATGCCGCTGCCGTACGATGCAGCAGACGCGCATGCATTCGAACCTTTGCCACCCCCGATTGCGCGCCATACGCGCTCCTTCACCTTCCTACATATTTACACCGCGCGTTTCGCGCAACGAGGATTAGCCCGACAGCCGATCCGGCGATACAGCGTGTACATTCCCTATCGATATATTATATACACCGGGCGCGTGCACCGCTGCTCTATACCCGTCCGTATGTATATATGTGCACGTAGGCGAAATCCGAGCGAAAACCGGTGCGCGTATCCAGCACGCTAGTGCAGCCGTGCTCTCGTAACAATCACGCCGGGCTCGGAACGATAAGATTCGTGGCAGGCGAGAGGCAATTTAAGCCAACAGCCCCTTCACATATACAGGGTGTACCAGCTAACTCTATTACCCGAGCTATTTCCTTTACTTTTCGAGTTTCGAGCCGGCCGCGCCATGCCACGTTCCACCGCCGCCGCCGCCGTCGTCCCTTCGGTTCGCCGAAGTTGCGTGCGTGCCCTCGTTCCACAATGGAAACGTTTCCGCTTTCAGCGTACCATTTCGCTGATATCGAGGTCACCGTCGTTTCATTTGATATACCGTAGCACCCCCCGTTGTTTCGATTGCTTCCTGTTCCTACGATGAATTTTGCGGATTCGTGAACGTACACGGGATTAAGCGACTGTGCTTTTAATTTTCTGGTTCGTGCGCAGCCGTTGCGCGAGGACGTAGACCCGATTACGGGAAGCCTTACCGGTTGCTTGTTATTAGCATAAAAGTGTAAGTGGTCACTCGGAAGCACCTTAGGACGCTAGACTCGTCTTGGGAATTCCGTCGTCTATTCTCGTAGTTCGTAAAACAATCTGACGCTCCATTTAATAGAAATTATTGCCCATAACCTTAGCAGTGATCATGTTTCTTGCAATGAATACAAATACTCTTTAGCGCTGTTCGTATCGATTTGTCGCTGATCCTCCGCCCACGGACGACAACCTTTAACTCGGCGGAGTTTCGTTGTCCAAAGACGACGCTGCGCGTTTCGTGGCCGTGCGGAGTTAACGAGGGTCGGATCGCTCGGGCGAAGTTTCCACCGTTTAATTCTTCCTCACCCGGATTCCGCCGGGATTAATTAATTTAGAAACATTTCGTTGCAACGGGTGGGAAAAATCGTCGAGTTTCAATCTTGCAAATACCCGATAGATAATATAACAACGCGGCCTGATTATGCTACCTAAATCAGTCGATTTCAAATATCGGAAAATAAGAATTATTCATGATCAACAGATTGCATCGAATTTGTCTGCAAATCGTGCGGCAAGATAGCCATAACGTCGAATCCTGGTGTGTATTCGGCTCGCAACTTTCTATCAAACTCCAGGCGGGAGAACAAATATTTTTCCACGCGCTCGCGATTTACTCGCGGTAAACAAATCTTCCGTACCCGTGTATCGAAATCGCACGCCGACACGAGCGACAACGCCATCGCAGTGGAAGCCGATGTCGCGGATGAAGTCGATGCCTCGCGCACGACTCCCCGCGTTCTGATCACGAGTTAACGGCGAGCGAGCAAATCGCAATCAGTCGCGCTTTGGGATGCAAACAGCGAGCGGATCCCGAGTAAGATCGGGCGGAGGCTTCCGCAATTCCGGTTCGAGGGACCCGTGGTCCCCGTGACGCGAGTTTTCGAACAATAGAGTTTGAACGGTCCTTACGCTCGAGTTACTCTCAATTTGCGCGGCCCGGTAGATCGGTAAACAGGTGCACTCGGTGGTGTACGAGCGGTAGAACTTGTCGCTGTTGAAATTCGAACGAGCCGACTCGAACTACCGCGTATCGGCTTTATCCGGTCGTCGATATCAGACGACCCGTGCGTGTCTCCGCTTTTAATTGACGGATTCTCGGGTACGCGGTCGTGCATCGAACGTTATAATCCACGAAAACTGGAAAAGAGCCGCGTGTCGCGTGACCCCGCAACTATCTTTAAATTAGTTCCGAAACATTTGCCGCGGCTAATGCGCGCAGCCAGGAGATCGATAGGCGTGATCTGGGGGTGTCGGGAAACGGGCGCCGGGGATGGGACGCGCGTTAATCGCTTGGCAGCCGCGACGACCTGCAACCGGTTACCCCGGCCGGATGTCCCTCGACGTGTCTCTAAGCGAGGATTAGACGGGCAAGGGTCTGGGTAGAGGAATAGAGGATCACCAGCTGGGACGGGACTCCTCATCCCTCAGGAAAGGTCGATGGATGGCTCGTTCGGGAAATGAGACATTAACCCGATCATACGGACAAAGACGCGCCGCTCGTTCTTACCGTGTACGAGCAATTAAATTAATAGGGACTCGTTTTCGACGTCTTATTTGGTCGTTAATTATCTGATAATTTCTCCGGTACGCGTTCTCCTGCCTCGCTTGATCGTCCGTCCCTGGATCGGATCGGTTCTTGCTCGAAGTTGAACTCGCGCGAGCCAGCAGCGGATTCTTGCACGGCCTCGCAACAGGATGCGAAACCTGCACGACCGGATTCGTAAGTTTTCGCGGAGATTGACGAGAAATAATCGAACGGGGTCGCGCGCAGCCACTCCGTCCGGTGTAGTGTTGCACGTCGACGAACGAACGCCAGAACACAAAGTTCA